GCGCTTTGACTCCTTCACCCCGTTTCCTCCAACACTCTTACATGCCCGTTCCTGTTCCTTCTCTGCCAACGCGAAGCGCGCCCCTGCCCTCTCTTTCCTCCCTCTCATTCATCCCTCCTCTTCCTCCCTCTTCTCGACGGGCCGTTGGAAGCAAAGGGATCAAACGCACTAGGTAGCACGGAGAAAGTCGCGTCCAGTTAATTACACTTCCACCAGTTCGCGAAGAGACCCTACGGTATTCTCGAGTACATCGCCAACGGAAAGATCGCCTGAGTTTCGTCTTCCTTGACACTCCGTTCAGCCGACGTTTGTGTCGGCGCCGCTTCAGGCGTGGAAATGGCACTGCAGCCGGTTCTCACGCGGCTCACAACCAGACTCGCAGATTGTTCAGCCACCTCTGTCAATCGTCGAAAGCTAAGATATAAGGCAAGGATGCGCTGCAGGCATTCTCTCCTCCTCCTCCTCCTCCTCCTCCCACTATTACTACTCGTCTGCAAAGAAGCTGCCGTGACAACTCCGGTCACAGCCCTGCTGCTATGACAACCGTCGTCATCGGCTCTCCATTCGGCAGCCTCCCCCTACAGAGGCGTCGCGACAGTGCCCTGCCCGCCTGAACAAACAGGTCAGGACAATACCGACAGAAACACGATGTCCCGCCACCAGTCTGATTTAATCAATCAATCTCATGTGCTGCAGAGAAACAGGGCGACGGAGGCGACTAGCTTGGCATAAACGACGTACTGGGTGATGTGACGTTCAGACTGACTCACCGATTCTTGGACAGCTGTCGGATCGCCGAAAGATTGCAGAAAGGGAGAAGAGAGAGGCGGGGGGGAAAAGGGATGGCAGCACGACAGGGCAAAGGAAAAGGGACACCGGAAGAGGTTGAAAAGGGTTGCAGAGGGAAGGAGAGTTCCCCTCTCAAGTACACCGAGCTGCCGGAGGAGGGGGAAAGGAAGGGGAAGAGAGGATGAGGGCATAAAACTACTACAAGCTGAGTTCACTAGAGTCGAACCCGCACGCTTTCCTCGACCGAACGTGCAACGTGTGTAGTAATTACCGAGAAAGCCGAAGTGAGTGGAGTTTCCCAGCGAAGTTGTCGGCTGATTAGCAGCGGGGAGGGGTACACCCACGTTGAGTTCAGACTTGAGCATCCAGTTCGCTCGAAGCTCGACCTCTCTCTCTCTCTCTCTCTCTCTCTCTCTCTCTCTCTCTCTCTCTCTCTCTCTCTCTCTCTTGCTTTGAATATGTGTTTGGATGTTTGGGTCCGTTGGTCACGCGGTCCCTCACTATGTCCCGCCTTCACAAAACACGTCCAGACCAAACGCAGCTGGTCATGTAGAAGTAAGTAGTGTTATTCCTTCTGGAAGAAGAGGAATAGAGAGGGACTGAAGCAAGGAGGACGAGGATGAAGCAGGATCTTGCCACATCTTTTCAGGCTGCCTTCCACTGCCATCCCCAGATGTAAACGGTATCTGACAAGCCGAGCCTGCGTCTCGGCCAACCATCATCACATGACATCACTGCTCCCCCGACAACTTTTCACCCCTACCCCGCCCCACTATCCTCTCCTCGCCGTTCGGCGCCACTTGTCTGTGCACTCCACCCGGCGCCACACGGCTGCACTCTCGGCCCAGTTGCTCTTTCCTCCACCTCTCTCCGTTACACTGTTGTCCCGCCGGGTCCCGGCCTCCGGCCCGTGGGAATTCCGGGACCATCATCTTCATCGGTTTTGGGACGGGAACGGAAAGGCAAACGGGATGCCACGGATAAGTAGCCACTGCCGGTTGCCCGCTTGCCCGCTTGCTCGCTCGCCGGTGCCGATACCCGCCGCGTTGCCGGCAGTGACCTCTGTTGAAACACACGCACACAATTGTTGCTGTGCTGTCGGTTAGAGTGCACGACGCGCTCATGGAATTCTCTGCACTGCAATTTTTCGCTCCTTTTTTGCTCTGATCTGACTCTGATTCTGGTCTCTCGTTCCCTTCATCCGCTTCCGCACGAAGTGTCGAAGGAAGGTCTCCAATTTCCCCTCCCAGAAGGAGATCTGGGCGAGGGGTGTCAAATTCCCTGACGGCTTCCCTGAGGGGTTTCAAGGCAAATGGTGGAAACCGGGTCCCTATTGCCAAAGGTGCCTGCTACACCAATCCCGAAGGTCCCTGTGCTGGGATGAACCCAGAACCTTGGAGTAGGAGTCAGGCTGCATTGTTGCTATGTTCGTGGTATGCTAGCATGAACCTCCTCAGGACGATTACGACCAGGTTCATGCCTCCAACCACAGATGTAGCTTCAGTGCCCCTGCCCCTAACTAAATCAATCTAGTTTCATCACAAGTACAATTAGGCCTGTTTCATGGAACAAATGCGCCCCCTGTACGCCAAGTTTCGTCGAGCCTGGAGGCGGCAGGAACCTGTAGGGGAAATTTCTTGGTTGGCACCCTTACTACCCTCTATGATGGACCTCCTGCAAGCAGCTGGAACAAAAGGGAACCCTCATTTTCTCGCGTTCACTAGTAAACCATCCTAATCCTGGACGAAAGTGCAGTCATATATTGTCTACCGCGTGGGCGCGGGGAACGCAGCCCTAAGGTAGCCAAATCAATGAGACTAAGAGCTAACACAAAAGAAAGAGAGAGAGAGAGAGAGAGAGAGAGAGAGAGAGAGAGAGAGAGAGAGAGTTTTGTTCCATTTATTGTTATGAGTGTGAGAGAGAAAGAAATAGAGAGAGAGGGAGGGGGGGGACTACCAGAGAGAGAGAGAGAGGGGGGGGGGCGGATTACTCTAGAGAGAAAGAGAGAGAGAGACTGAATGGCAAAATTTTGAAATATGGGTCCAATTGCGGCCGCGATCTATTTTTCAGTTGGAATTATTTTTTAAAATTTATTTAGCGTTTTTTTTTCTGGAAATATCACAACAAAATTTACGAGTACTCCAATTTTCATGTTTTTTCACGCATTCTCTTGAGCATGAAAACTCACTGAATTTGGAGTACGTTTTTAGTTGGCCCAGGCATGGCTGAGTGGCAAAAATGGAAAATGTGCCGAATCAGTGCGACGATTATTTTGCAGTGTAAATGATTTTTTTTTAATGTTATATTATTATTTCTGGAAATAACACGATCTCATCTATGGATTCACAAAATTTTAGATTTTTTTGCATGTTCTTCCGAGCACAGAAAATCGCAAAAGTTGCCTCTTGCAAAACGTTTATTTCATTATGCCTGACCTCCCTGTTTTGAAAAGACGGGGCTTAATGCCTGGGCCTGAGGGCCCTTTTGCAGTTCACATGCCCTCACTTTTTTTCGGAGTCCGTTTCTACCAGGGGACTGGTCCAACGCCCCCCACTTCTTTTTGGGGTCCACTTCACCCGAGAACCGGTCCTTCCTTTTTCCAAAAGTCCCGGTTCTACCAGAGCTAGCTGTAGGTAGTCCGCAGTTTTGCCAAGGACCGGTCCCCCAAAAACTTTTTGCCCCCTAAGAACCCATTTTGCGTCCTGGTCGCCCGCCGCCAAAAATTCGACACCTTGACACAGACGCGGAAGCCCACTATACCGCAGCCTAAGGGCTGCGAACATTCTGGAAAGTTATCGCATGAAAATACCTTGAAATTAAATGGGATGGCAAGAAATTGATTGCTCCTCACTTCTCACGAGAAGTCGTAAAAAAATATCAAGGTTTATGTATTTTTCTTATTAAACCACCAATACCTAAAAAACCGATAGTTTTCCTTAACTTCTAAAAAATACGACATCCGACCCAACGACAACTGCCATTGATAAATTTGATTAATTTGAATTATGGGTGTCGTTTCGTTTCGGCCTCCTAAAAGGTCAGAGGCCCACCTGAGGCCCGCTATTTTTCCACTCGACAAAGGTATTAGTGGTTTATTAAAAAAAAAGAAAAAAAAAATTGCATACCAAGCACGAATGTGATCACCTTCAAATTCATCCAAATCAGGCTATACATGTGGTTCGATATATTATAAAAAGTGTAAGGATGAGAATGCCTTGAAGTACAAAAAGTGAATGAGGTATCTATTGCTCCCTACATCTCATGTCGAGTTACATCAAAAATATTTGATTTTTTTTTTTTTTTGAAAAATATAAAAAAAAACAAAAGAAATCGCTTACTAAGCTCTGCAGATGATTACTTTCGCATTCATTTAATGTGTTGTTGTCTTTAATCGGGGTCAAATACATTTTGAAAAATGTTGACATAAAAATACCCCAAAATATAAGGGGTCTGACAAAAACTCAATTCCTCCCCACCTCTCACGGGGAGTCACAGCATAAGTAGTTGAAAATCTTTTAATATAAAAAAAGCATTATAAGCTTTGAACCTAGGCTAGGAACCAGACCGGCCAGGTCATCCAATTTTCTCCGGCGGGGCAAGGGGGGGGCCAAAAACACAGGGTGCACGTACATTCTCGGGCGGGCCGGCCGTGCAAGGACTAGGGAAGGTCCCAGCCAAAAAAAAAAGAAAAAAAAAACTATGTTATGAAAAAAAATAAATTGAATAACTGTTGTCTCAAGGTGACATCGAAATTTTGTAACAATTTTAAAATAAAAATTTTAATTAAATAATATTTTTATTTTTATTATTTTTACTTTTTTTTTGCCCGGTCGCGCAAGTGGACCCGGACCACTCTGGTAGCCTAGCTTTGAAAATGATTGTTTTCAAATTTATGTAAGTTGGTCATAAGTGTCGTCAGATACATTATCGAATGTTATACCATTTGAATGCCTTTAAACCTTCGTTTTTGTTTTTTGTCATTGTAACTATGTTAGCGAAGTACAAAATTTTTCATTTTATGCATTCGCACATGTTGAAACACGTGCATGTCATAAGCCAACAAAACATATTGCAGTTCATGAACCTCATTTTCTTCAACCCGTCGGCTTTCTTTCTCATTGCACTTTCAAACCTTTCCCAAATCATGAATTTATCGAGATAGGTGACGAATTATATTTCTACAACATGGGCCCCGTGTACTAGTAATTTAAACTACCAGTTCACTAGAAGTAGACTAAACAAATTATTGACCAACTAACATAGCCCAATTCGCACATCAATTAATTATTCATATATACAGACACGAGTCCCAGTTCGAATGAAATAAAATGCATGGAACACAACTTTGAATTTACCTTAGGCAGTCAGTTTAAAAATGATAGTTTAAGGTCTTCATCATTTTAAATTAACTTTTGTTATTATTATAATAAAATTTTAAAAATATTTCACCAGCTTAAATGATTTTATTTATTTTTACTTTTTGTTGGTAGTGAAAGTAGCAAGTTGCTTTCAAAACGAGCAATTGTACGTTCATGTGCCTTAAACGTAACTATCTTAACTTAAGATCACCTGAACTCGTGATTAAGCATTTCCATTTAGTTTTTACTATATTTGTTAAACATTTTTTTTTTTTTTTTATGTGAAACATTCGATTTATCTATTATTATAGTCCTTTAGATAATTACTTATTTGCACTACAAATCGCTACCTTAAAATGGTCATTCATTGCAAAGTCGTATAAATTTTAAAATTATTTTTGATTGGTGAGAAACTCTACCTTATGAAAATCGGGTTCAACTTTTCATAAGTATACAAAGAGTACAATAAAAATGCATCTTACCATAATTTATTGATCCTTTCTCATAGAAATAAAGTGAGAATCATTGGTTGATTACTGAAAAATAAATACTCGTCTCCTACCCATTATCTAATAGCTTAGAAACAAACTTTTTTGTTTATTCTCTTATTAGGTTTACTTGTATAATATGTATATGCAACAAAGCATAATTTATTGTATTCAATTCCTTATCTACCCAATTTTATCATTTTTTTGAGAAATATGCATAAAAGGAAGTTATCAATGAAAAGACGCGAGTTTCGAGACTATTTTCCTCCTCTAGTAATTTTTTTTTTTTTAAATATATATAATTTTGGATGTGATAAACATTAACATTTCATATATGATTACGTCATCTATTTGGGGGAAGGAACACCTTTTAGAAATCAGAATCAGAGTCTCATTCGACAAACTTAAGCAAAATTTAAATGGTGAAACGACATCGGCTGCTCCTTTGTGAAAGTTATAACAGGCTCAGAATGCTTCTTTGTTGACCTTCAATACTTTCCGCTTTCGTTATCGCGTTACACCACAACTAGTTAACAAGTTTCCTCATGCCCTATACTAGAGAAAAATTTTACTATTCATTTGCAAAGTCGTTTTTTTTTTTTTTTTTACTTGCAACCACTAGTCAAGCCTTCCTTGATGACCCTCGATACGATAAAGAATTTGAAATTACGTTTCAATCGCAAATTCAAAATTCAAAATAGTAAGAATAATAAACAAGAATCGTAGGAGCGCGGGGAATGAAGCCTTAATACATATATATATCGTCGCAAACAGAACTGTCCGGTAAACCGTAGGCAGAGAGAGAGAAGAGAACAACAA